AAGAGTTCTGCTAGCGCGAAGTTATTCTAGTCTAGGTAAGCGCTTAGCTACCTAAACGTTGCTACGTACTAGAATACTAATCTAGTCTATTATAGCTAGAATAACTTTTTCTACGCTATCTTATATACGTTAACTTCTCTAAACGTTTCTCTAAGGTATTTTATAAACTCTATCTAGCTTTTAAAGATTTTATTTATAGACTATTATGTTCTCTTTATATTACCTTTATTCTCTAGCTAGTCTAATATATAGAGCTTAGCCTACGTAAAAGCTTTCTCTTCTATGTTTATTATAGCTTTTAGAATCTTGTTCTTATTCTATAGAAATACTATAGTATTATACTATAGGTAGAGTTCTATAGCTACTAGAAACGCGTTAAGGTTCTCTCTTTTACTATTAAAGCGTTAAGGTAAGGTAATCTTAGCCTAGACCTGTTGTTTTACTATAGCTAGCTTCTCTACCTATTAGAGGCTTATCTTCTAGAGTACTATAATAACCTATTAGAGTTCTATAATCTATTCTTTTATAGTTAGCTTCTAGGCTTAGGTTTTTCTAGATTAGGTTCTAACTATTAATATAGTCGTTCTACTCTTTAATATTAGGTAGTTATTTTATTATAAGCTATTCTCTTAACTAAGACTAAGGCTTACTTTTGTAAGAGAAGATAAGAGGTGTACTTTAGGCTAGAATCTTTAGTAATAAAGAGGTAGACGTAATATTACTATAAATTATAAGTTATAGTAGTAATTTAATAAATAAAGTAATAACTATAAGAAGCTATAAGAAGCAAGCTTCTTCTAGTTTATATATACGTGCTATTCTAGCTAGATTAGGCGCTAAGACCTAGGTTCTATAGATTAGACCTAATCTACCTTACTCTATCTAATCTACCTAATCTACGTTACGTAGCTCTAATTATTTCTATAACTCTACACGTAATCTCTTTTTCTATAACCTTAAGCTTAGCCTACTATTTTTCTCTATTCTAGCTAACTAACCTTATTTCTAATTCTATAATTATAATAATATAGTAAATTCTATATTACTATACTTCTTATAAAAGACTATAAAGATTATATTCTAAACTAGCGCTATTAGCTTATATAGTCTAATTCTAGATAGACTTACTCTAAAACGTAAGCTTCTACTAGAACTAAGATAGTATATAGATTCTATATATTTACTAATTCTTAAAATACTAAAAATATAAACTATAATAAAAGTCTATATCTTAACTTTACGCTATAGCTTTAGAAGTATAAACTAATTATTCTTCTACTACTATATTTCTAGATAAAGAAAATAAATTTATAAGCTATATTACTATAGCTACTTTCTATAGAGTAGCTTAAGAATATTATATAGCTTATACTTAATAAACTATTTATATAATTAGTACCTATAGCGTAAAACGTCTAGCTAGCTATAGTAGATTTATATTTAAGGTAAATAGTATTACGTTTAGGCTTATTACCTATACTAGCTTTTTTATCTTCTTTTTTTTATTCTTCTTCTTCTTTTTCTATTCTTCTATTATTCTAGCTTATCTCTAGCTAGTAGTAAAATCTTTATAGTACTAGACTATAGTCTATAAGTCTAGCTTTTTATTACTATATTTGCCTATAATTCTATATACTATAGTTATTATAAAGTCTTTAGATATCTTAATATTATCTAGACTAGCTTCTAGATTTAACGTCTTATATCTAGTATTAAAAGATTAAGTTAGTAAAAGCGTGCTAGTTTAAATATATTATAGTAAACTTACTAAGTCTATAGCGCTAAGGCTTAAGTATAGTTTTTCTTTATTCTTAGCTAGAGCTCTTTTAGAACTTATTTACTATTAATAACGTTTTTCTTCTTTTCTATAGCTATGTTCTTAGTAGCCTACTTAAAGAAGACCTTAGGCGAAATTTTCTATAGTATTTTATAGATAGGTAAAGTAGTAGAATAGAAAATTAAGAGGTAAGATAGTATAAAAACGTTATAAATTAATAAAAATACTAAGAAAAAGAGAACGTTACTATTAATAAAATAATAAAAGTAATAATAGCTATAGTAGTTAGATAGATTTAACTTAGTAGTATAGCTACGTCTCTTTATAGTATAAAGATATAGTAGAGGCTACTATACTAGAAGAAAGTAAAACTAGTATTATAGGTATATAGTAGTTTAGTTATCTAAGCTAGAAATAGATTTTAACTTCTATTAGAAGAATAATTCTAACTTCTAAATATAAAGTATAATCTCTAGCTTTAAACCTATTCTAAGTATCTTTCTTATCTAGACTTAATAAAAATAATAAGAGAATTTCTATCTAACTAGATTAATATAATTAGCTATATAAGTAGCGTAGGCTAATATAACTATATAGTAGGTAAGTAGCCTAAGTAGTAGATAAGATAAAAGTAATTAGCGCTAGAATAAAGCGGTAATACTAACTAACTAAACCTAGAGTATAGATATAAGAGAATTTTAACTAACTACTTTAGAAAGTCTAGACTAACTATAAGAAGTTTATATTACTATTTAATAGTAAGAATAATAGCGTTCTATCTAAACATAAACTATAGAACTATAAAATACCTAACGTACTTTATTATTAAAAGCTCTATATTATTAAAAGCTCTATAATTTCTTAGCAAGAAAAATTAACAAAAATTAACTAGTTTTTCTAAAATAACTAAGCGAAGTTATAATATTTTTCTATAAAACTTTATATTTATATTTTTTATAATATATTATACCTTATACTAAGGTTATACTAGAATATATTACGTAATTAAAAAGCTATACGTATTTAACTAACTTTTAAAAAAAATCTAGTTTACTTCTAGAAAATACTATTATATTTCTATAATAATCTATAAAACTTATAGTTATATAGTATCTATAACCTAATAAAGGTTTCTAGAAAACTTTTATAGAGCTAGCTCTTCTAGGTATAGCGTAATAAGAGATAGAAGCTAGAAAAATATCTTCTTTAGAGTTTTCTTCTCTAACTATATATATATATAGTTAATCTAGCTATATAAACTTATTATTTTATATATTATAGTAGGCTTTAACTATATAGAGCTTATTAACTAATAATATAGTAGCTTTAAGTAGTTATTTAAAAGTAAAGCCTTTTTAGTAGTATAGTATAGAAAGATAGAAAGATACTAGAACTATCTTAAAATTATTACTTCTAAATATATAGAAGGCTTATAGTATATATAATCTTATAGTATATAACTTTATATAGCTAGATTAACTATATATTTATATAGTTAGAAGAGAAAACTCTAAAGAAGATATTTTTCTAACTTCTATCTCTTATTACGCTATACCTAGAAGAGCTAGCTCTATAAAAGTTTTCTAGAAATCTTTATTAGATTATAGATACTTTATACTATAAGTTTTATAGATTATTATAAAGATATAATAGTATTTTCTAGAAGTAAACTAGATTTTTCTTAAAAGTTAGTTAAATACGTATAGCTTTTTAATTACGCAATATATCTTAGTATAACCTTACTATAAGGTATAATATACTATAGAAAATATATTTATAAATTTTTATAGAGAAATATTAAGGTTTTACTTAGTTATTTAAGAAAAACTTATAAAGTTCTATTAATTTTTCTTACTAAGAAATTATAGATTATTTAATAGAGTAACTAGTTTAATAGTAAAGTACGTAATAGTATATCTAGATAAGCTAAAGTCTTTATTATAGTTAGATACTTAGATTAAGATATATAAAAGAGAGAAGACTATAGAGAATAGTAGAGAATTTAAAACCTAAATAGATAGAAAATAAAAGAGTAGTATAAAGACGCTACTAAAAGTCTTAGAGCTTAGAAATAAGCTTTCTCTATAAGAAAAAGTAATATAATAGTCTAACTTAGTTCTATCTAAGTTATATAATCTTATATCTAGTATTTTAGTATTAGATACTCTATATATAAAGCTTCTTAGAGCTTTTTTCTACTTCTTATTTTTAGATAGCTAAATTTAGTCTAATCTACTCTACTCTTACGCTTTTATTCTTATAGCTTATAGAGATAGTACTATCTATAGCTAACTTATCTAGCTAGATATTCTAGAGCGTTATATAGTTAGTAGAAACTAGAAGCTAGCTCTTATATTATAATACTAGGCTGTAGATAGTAACTAGAAGCAAGCTAGAGGCTTAGCTAATAAGAGTTTATTGTTACTAAGCTCGATTAGCTAGGCTAGCTCTTAGATAGTAGAGAAAAGAGATATCTAAAGCTTGCTAGCACTACTCGTCTTCTTTTTACTAACCTCTCTACTGTTATAGTAGAGCGATAGAGAGCTAGGCTTTAAGACTCTTAGTTATAAGCGAGCTAAGCACTCTGCTAAGGTAAAAATTAAGAGACTTAGTAACGTTTCTTATAAGCCTCTTCTAAACTCGGCCTTTAGTATATAGTGTAGAATCTATAGTTAATTCTTATAATATAGATATATAAGGTAGAAGAAACTAAGAATAGCCTAGTTTAAAGAGAAATAAGAAGCAGGATGCGAGAATAGTAAAGTTGCTGTATTCTAAGTAATATATAGCTAGCCGAAGAATGCTAAACAGAAGGCCTGTTATTTGTCTGCGTGATGTCGGTTACCCGCATGACTCGGTCCATATCGTGTATCAACCACCTCGATCTCGTGCACTGCCCACTAATGGGTGTGGCACTGGGAGAGAGAAGCCTGTACCCTTCCTTGTCTTTAGAGGAATATGCCTTGGAGAAGTGGAGAAAGGAAACTCGGCATGGAAAGTTGGTTGCATCGTGGCCAAGCATAGAAATCACTGGTACATATACTGACTGCTTGACGAATAATTATAGTCTGTCTAAAGGTCTTAATGGCCTCTAGGTCTTTGTGCTGTTACATTGCTACAGCTAATCCTTCTCATCCGCGATATCTATGATGGCGGTGGAGAGCCAGGTGCGGCGGTCTATCAAGCCTCTGTTTGTTGCTGGCCTCAGCGCATCCTTCGTCCTTCAGCTCGAGCCTCCGCGGCCACTATCATCGTCACCGACACGGCGGCGCTTGCTTCGATGAGGCTCCTGCGCAGCCGTGGTAGGTGCTGCTGCCATTTCTGACCCCGGATCCTGGCTCGAACCACCTTGGCCGGCCTCATGATTCCGTCTCTTGGGCGGCGGCTGGCGTGCCGGATTGCTGCGATTGCCCTTCAGCTTCCTCTTCTTGCTGCCGCCTACACTTGAGTCATTATTGGTTGCTTTGTTGTCTGGAGATGACGCAGTCTCAACCTGGGGCAACTGCTCGAGGATCCATTGTGCCCGCTGCTCCTGGCGGCGGACGGCCGTCTCTTGCCGCTGGAAGGGTCCTGTGCGCTTGAGAAACTTGCGGATCTGCTGCCTCGTCGCCAGCAGCTCTACCCTGGCTGCGTCGAGTTGCTGCTCGTCCGGCGTCCCGCTTGTTGTCGTTGTCGTTGACGCTGTCGGCCATGGGGACGCGTCGGGGTGCGGCAGCCGTTCAGGAACTCAACGAGCTGGTCCTCGTCAAAGGCGAGCAGCTCGCGACCGGATGGAGCCACAGGTGCGAGGGCCTCGGGTGATGACATACGTTCGGATACGCGCGTGGGGAGGGTGCCATAGCCTCGTGTGCTGTGCTGGCGAAGGTCGGCAGTGATGGCGGTTGGAGTGATGGAGGTTGGAACTAAGGTAAGGTTGGGAGAGAGAGGGTAAGACAGCTTCTGCAATCAACCAATCCAAGCCCTGAGGATTCATGCACGCTGCGCGGCCTGTGATGCGAGCACAAGAACGGCTGGCTGTGCTGAGCCCGGTCTGCTGCACCGCGCTTTACCATCTCAAGTGGGCTTACGGCGATTGCTCCGTCCCGAGCGCGATGACGATTTCAAAGCAACACCTCAACCAATCGAGCAGTAAAGAACCGGCCATTGCCTCGACGCCCAGCCAGTCGACATGTCGGACAGGGCGTTGCGGGCGATGATTGGACTGCTGCGTGTCGGCGGCGCTCCGCTGTTACGTTTAGCGGCGTCGCCGCTCAGCCTGCTGTCAGTTACTGCGGGCGCTTCCGTGTTGATATATTTATTGAAGTTTGCTGGATGGTTGAGCGTGCTATTCACAGCGATACCAAATATCCGTACGTAACTCATCTCTGGAAAGACTGACTCCACCTTTGCTAAGGGATTCAAGCAGAAAATGTGTACCTTGGTGACCTCCACAACGAAGTATACCGGATGCCCCTCATCCTGTAACACCACATCCACCGACCTGGTCAAATGTCAATCCGCACTCCAGTCGGGCACTACCTGCGCAAACCCAGGAACGAGTACGTTGGCCGCAACCACTAGTCGCTTTCAGTGTCCCAATCATCGGGACGAAGGCTTTTCTCAGCGCTAAAGAGAGCGCAATCTCCGCAATTCGACAAATGTTGGATATATGTATTGAGATAGTCCTTCGTTTGTAGCACGCTCATTACACCAATGAGCGCATCACAAGTTTGATGATCTTAGCCGATTCAGCTTCCTGTCTCCAGCACAGTGCAATGATCTCTGCGAAGGGTACTTCGCTCAGTTCCGGAAACACTCCATCCTTGTACAGTTTCTCCACCTGATCGTCAGTCAGCTCTTCGTACGGCTCGTGCCCAGTGGCGATAAAGTAGATTGTTGAGCCTAAAGCGAAAAGGTCCTCTTTAACCGTCGTCCTACCCAAGCTTGGCAGCCTGTATCTTACTCCAGGGGCGACCGTGGCCTGCGAGCCATCCAAGGAAGATCCGCCAAAGTCACAGATCTTAAGGCTAAGATCGATATCGAGCAGGAAATTGTGCGGCCCAACATCGCCCTGAATAACGTTGTGCGAGTGTAGAAGCTCAACGCCCTCAGTAACCTCCCTCACCCACTGTTGCCTCTGGAATGGCGATATCTCCTGCCCATGCTTCTGAACGTATTCCTTAAGATTGCCATTAGGCATGTATTCCAGCGTCAAGGCATGGCCAACAGGGTCCCAGTGTTTGAATTGTACCAGTCGGGGATGTACTCCAAGTCTCTCATATATCTGCGCCTCGATCGCCATCTCTTGCCTGCAGTCTGATGCCGTGGGACGCCCCGTCCAAGGAGACTTAACCACATCTCCCGAATCAAGACGCTCCACAAGTCCCGTCGCTCCCCCGCCCAGGAACTCGCCCTTCCCCTCGATAATATTGACGATAGGGCCGTGAGGGTTGATATCGGCTTCGCCGCTCAGTCCGTCTGGGCTCGTGTGATCGCAGGCTGCAAGCGTTAGCTTACTAGGGGCAATGATGGAAAACTCTGAGGGGGCTCCATACCTGGCGAAACTGCTGCCTTCGAGGTCATTTTTGTCCTCCGCGAGTTACTCGCTCCAATAACTCCGGGCCCGCAGGCAACTGCAACGCCTGCCGGCGCCGTATTATTACTGCCTGTTGCGTCAGGATCGGTTAGAAATAATATGCGACGGCCATGCAAAGCTGAGCGAGCGCGGTGCAGGGCGTGGGCAAGCTGCTGGCTGGCGGCTGGCTGGCTGGCTGGCTGGCTGGCTGGCTGGCTGGCTGGCTGGCTGCGGGCATGGCTTTCTGGAGTTTGACTAACTCCGGTAACTCCGGCGCGCTGGCTGCGGGCGGCGCAGGATTTCTGAATTTTCGATGTTCTGTGGCTGGAGCGCTCTGCAGTGGCTTGCGGGGCTGCAGCAGGCTCTGATTGGCGGCCGTATTAGGACGATACTCTAGAAAGAAGGGGCAGGTGTTACGATTACAGGATCTGACAGAGCGGGCACTGCTCCGGAGGGGGCCAGGAGGGAACTACGGAGCAGGGCCGGTCACGTGGAAGGGATCACGTGAGACGCACAGGATCCCGGTCACGGGGACAGGATCATGATCCCGGTCGAGATTTAGGGACCAAAACGGCTCCAACAGCGGGAACCGGAACATGACCTCCTTCTATATCCGCAATGTCAACACCTTCCAAGAACTTCGTCCAAGGAGTGTTGCTTAGGCGATTCTACAGGTACTAGAGCTTCAGATAGTATTTGATATTCTGGAGTATGCCTTTCTTTACCTCTGTACAAGCTAGATTTAATTACTAATGCATTCGTTCGTCCGTAACGCGCCCAAAACGCAAAACCTTGGCGCAAGCTATTCAGAACGCTAGCCGAGGGTTATCCACAAGCTAGTCTTATAAGGGAAGCCATGACTAAGCACAAGCAATGCTTCACAGCCCCGGCAGAGAAAACTGAGCCTTTTCGGATGAGGTAATCAACGTCAACACCTCCACACAAACATCAACACCACTTTTTTGTACAGCTATTACACCACCACCACGCCCGATATATACATAAAAAAATGACGCGCGTACGCCCCAGTACCCCTACGAACCGCCAGGGACAATTCCACGCTGATACTATACGGAAGTCGCGATTTTTTGAGGCGTACGATCGCCGGAAGGATGCGGGGCAGAAGGTGTCAGAGGTGACGGAAACACTCAATATTCCACCCAGCACGGCAAAACGATGGCTGCAGGAGAGGCAGCAATACGGGGATATCGCATACAGAAGGAGAGAGCTAAGAGACATAAGACAGGAAGAAAAGGGCACCAAACAAGGCCCGGCTCCTGCGGTCTCCGATGAGACTCTCTCCACCTTGCTAAGTCGCGATAAACAGGTCAACCCAGTACGCAATCGGAAGCTTAATGTACAGCGGAAACACCATAAAATACAGGCCTCTGTACGCTGCCTACGCAATGCCTTACGTACAAGAAGAAACGCCGGTATTTACAGGGCAGCTACGTCCAAAAAGATCACCTCCGCGCAAGCCTTAAAGCGCCAAACCTACGGCGCCACCCACCAATATGAGCCCTTAGAGGGCTTCTGGGACGGCGTCTTATTTTGCGACGAGGCTCACTGCGACCCTGGCGACCTCCACCACCCTAATATACTGCGAGAAGAAGGCACCCAATACGAGGATAGCAATATAGTTACACAAGAGGGGAAACAAGGCAATCAGGTCCACTTTGCGGCGTGGGTTAACTGGTACATAAAGGCCAACAGTCTGTTGTTTTACAACGACGAATACGACGACGTCAAGCCTGTAAAAAAGCCGCTAAAGCCACGGCGTCGGCTAACAACTAAGACTGAGGATGAGTACAATCGCAGAGTCGCTGAGTGGGAGGCATCTCTGCCTCGGGAGCCAGAGGTAAAAAAGCCGGGTAACTCTATGAGAGCTTCCTACTACGTCGAGAAAATACTACCCTGGTATAGAGACGCCTTTCAACACCTCCAATCGCGATCGAACGAGCTGCGCGGCCACCTCCCCCGGGAGCAACGATACACCTGGTATATCGTAGAGGACAGCGATCCCTCTCACGGCAATAAAAACAGCGCCTCTCTGCCAGCTATATATAGGCAGGAGCATGGGCTGCCTCTGCTAGATCACCCACCTAATTCCTGCGACCTCAGCGTTATTGAGGGCGTATTCAACATCCTCAAAGAACGGGCCAAAGAGCGCCTCTCTGAGTGCAACACCATACAAGAAGTCAAGGACCTGCTGCAAGATGAGTGGAGTAAGATTACTCAGGACGAAATACAGCGCCGAATTATTGAGTTGCCCTGGCGTTGTGGCCAGGTAGCGCGCGACGGCGAGAAACGCGTAAAATCAAGGCTCTGGTAACTCAATTGTAAACTACAACACTAGAAAACAAGCCTGTATACGCCCCTCTATACAAATATAAAGCTTCAAGTCCAATTTCTATATATTTCCAACCCAGAAACCACAAAAAAACCCTCATTGTATGGGTGTTTGTATGGCGCGGCGGTATTTTGATGGTCCGCTTACCTCATCCGAAAAGGCTCAGTTTTCTCTTCCGGGGCTGTGCTTCCAGAACCTGAATTAATAACTTTTACACCACACCTCGTTTCTTCAACGGGTTATGAGCTCGGCCCCTGCTGCCCGTTTACCCCATATATTTGCTTCGCAGTTCCTTTCTATTGTGTGCTAGCTCATTTACCGCTGCTGTCGGTACCCTCCCTGCCTCCGTCGCCGTTCACCCAACGTCACCGGCGGACACAGGCTTCAGGCCACACCGCAGCAGTCTCCTCCCACTGCAGCACTACCTTTCTGCAGTACCACCCTGTCGATCAACAGGCTCCCCTCTTGACCGACAGTTCCTCCGCCGATATCCCACCTTCTCGGCGGCACACCGGTGCATCACCCTACAGCCTACCGGCTGCTTGCCTACACCCTCGTTCCGCCGATTTCTCCTCCCACTACAGGGGACGATCACCGTAGCTGGAGATATCAAGCTGCCACTACATTGCGTAGGGACTGTCCGGTTACGCTGCGGGCTACCTGGCGGGTCTAACCCCGTCGCAGAACTGACAAATCTTTAGTTCTGGATACTCCGCTCTTCTCGTGGGCCTACGTTCGTAAACGCTTCGACCTCTACGCATTCGCCGATGACCTTTACCTCTCGCAGAACGCTCGATACGTCATGTGAGGGAAGCATACCGATGGTGTTATACAGCAGACAGATCAACCGCCGCGGGCTACCTAACCAGGTGGAATACGTGTTACCTCTGCCTATCCCAACCGAGCAGGAAAGAACATGCGATCGCCTTCGCTGGTGGTTTCACGTCATACATGGACTTTCACTGCGCGATGGGACATCAGACAAATTGATATGCGTCCCGGCTATACAAGGACGCGGAGCTGATCTCCGAGCGACCGGCCGATTTCGAGTGCCACACCTACCTGCTGTCCGGATCAACCCACCGCCAACTGGTGGCCGGCACAGCGGACAGTCTGATACACCAAGCCCTTCGAGATCATCCATAGCGACCTATCGAGCAAGTTTTCCCGCCAGAGCCTTGGCGGATCGCGATACTATATTTCGTTTATCGACGACTCCACCCGACACGCCCGGGTCAAGTTCCCGCCGCGGAAGGCCAACGCCCTACAAGCTGTCGAGGGCTTCGTCGAATGGGTCAATACACGGCACAATCAGCCAATTCAACGATTCACTGGTTCTGTCATCAAGCGTGTCAAATCAGACAATGGTGGTGAGTATATCGCCTCCCGCCTTCAAGATTTCCTTCGGCGGAAAGGCATAGTGCACGACACCGTACCGCCATATCATGAGCTTAACGGCGGAGCGGTTGAACCGGACCTCCAGCGCCGGATCGTTGTGGAGCGCATGCTGCGACTCCTTGCCTCTCCACATGTTCGCCTGGAGGATTCGAAGCTCCTTATTCATGACGTTGGCGTGCCGCAATCCTGTCTCTTTCTTCCTCGTACTCGTGGCATTGGCGGCTGGACGCCCGGTGCGGACCTTGGCAGTTCACGCAGCGCTGGAAGACGCAGGAAGGGAGTTTCGCAACCACGCTTCTAGACGATTGAGGGAGCATTGCAAATCTCGCTTCCAATGATTACGTAAGGTAACCGACCTCGAGAAGCTTTTGCAGTGCCTTCGCCCGCGATTTGCGTCACCATCAGCCGTCTCGACCTACATACCCACCACAGCTCGCGCCGAAGCTTCCGGACACAGTCGCCACGCTGGGCAGATACCTCTTGCCACCCATCTCAACGCCCACCTTCGCGGCCGCCCTCACCCACGCTCTACGCCGGCTGGAGCGGCAACTGCAGCACAGGGAAAGCCTCTACGGCCCACAGGTCGACGCCAGCCGCTTCAAACACATACCCCTCTCGGTGCGCGCGGCACACCCGAGCGAGGCGGACAACGGCGCGCGCGACTTCCTCACCTACATGACGCCGTCGACGCCCAGCACCCCCGCCAGCGCCCTGTCCCCACGACTCTCCGCGCCCACTTCTCGCAACCCGACTGCAACGGCGATGGCAATCGCGTCCCACCGCCCCCCGGGGCCCCTTGCCTCCCCAACAGCCTTCATCGCCGACCAATCCTGTCTCGAAACAAAAGCGAGAGCATACGCCTGCCGAAACGGTTCCTTCAACGTCCCGCCCGCTTTGCCGTCCGAAACACCGAACGCATCACATGAGATGGCTACCAGCAACAAGGAAACAAGACAAAGCATCTGGACATGACTTCGGAATCCAGGTCGACTTGCGTCGGACGCCGCCCGATGCAAAGAACGTCGAACGTGCGAACAGACAGGTTCAGAACGGATATACTTAAGACCAGAAAAGAGTCTCAGAGGGTTTCCCATGGCGTTAGGACCATTAGGACGGGGACAGTGACGGAGTAACCTGCGGTGGCTCGTTTCGAGGCTGATCGGGGACGGGGCTTTTGGAAGACGAGCCGAAGAGTGTTCGCGACTGCTGCTCGTGCTCGAGGCGCCGGACCTGTTAGTGTACGCATGAACGGGACGCGGGATCACGCCAAGAGGCTTGTGTATATAACACCGGGGAGCTCGCTCCTTACGGCTCCTCGTAGTAATTGCTTTATTCAATAAATTGCTACTGCGACTTGCGACTTATTGTGTCCTTGCGTCCACCCCTTTGTCACTGAATAGTCCACGTCCAAAGCATACCCCTTGCCTCCCCGTACGACAGTACGCCTCGGTCTCAGTCAAGAGGACAGCTCGTAACAGGCAGGTTGTAACAAGTTTCCCCTCCTTCATGGTCCATGTCCCAACGACCGATCATTCGTAGTATCCCGGGTCGCTAGGGCAGTGCCTTTTGCTGTCGCTAGCGGAGCTGGTACGTGGTGGAGGTCGGGCTTTCGCGGCTTCTGAGGCACTCTGTCCGGCTGCTTCCAGAAGGGTATTTAGTGATTCTCGGATCTCCGTCAGGCGTTTGTCTCTTCCCCAGTCGATGATGTTCTTGACGTGCTTGCGGAATTCGATGTAATGCTCTGGGTCCTGAAGCAAGAAGCTCCTCACTTTCTGCATGTAGTAGTCCAACTCGTTGTGCTTCCATGAGACATAGAGTCGCGCGACTTCGCCGTTCATGGCGATGCTGAACACGGTGCTGTCAACTGGTTGGACCTTGCTGCTCTTGCACTTCCTCAGTTGGTCATTGAGGCGTTCGGCAATGTTGACGCAAGATGCGGATCCTCCAAGGCACTGGTTCGTCGCTACCCAGAGGTCGCCGCCGTTACCCTTGAATTCGATGACGAAGAATGGGTACATCAATCCCTGAGTGTTGGCTGTTCCATTCATTTCGGTTCCCATGGAGATGAGTTGCGTTTGCTGGTCGGGAAATGCATGATGACGCCTGTATCCGTACAGCATGTCAGGGATCGGGTTGCTGACTCTGAGCTTGGGCTTGGCGGAGCTCGGTACGGCATGTCTAGACATCGGCTGTCTGTAGGTGCGCCTCAGGTCGTTTTCTTCGCCGGCTTTGGGGAACACTCTGTCCCTGAAGTAGTCCTCTACATCTGGCTCGTCGAGTCCTTCCATCTCAAGGGCGCCCAAGGCCCTGTCTCGGTACACGTCGTCAGGGGACGGCCCAGGAGAATCACGCTTCTTGCGTGCCGTATCAACAACGCTGGCGATGTGTTCAGGGAATGGCTCGTCACGGTAACGCATGTAGATGCCGTTTGCAGCTAGGTTCTGGTCTCGGTAAAATGGATCTTCAACGAGAGCTCTTGATGATCGACTCGAGCCAGGGGTGGCGCCGGCGTCGCCTGATGGTGCGATCGACGGCGCAAATGATCCGGCATATGAGTTTGGTGTCGGTGGCATGGCGTATCCATCTGCATCTCGGTTGTAGGCCATCTGTGGCGCTGATCTCGTGCGGTTTCTCGGGATGGGGTCGTCGCTCGAGGCGTGAAGGTAGCTGTCTGACCGGCAGCGTTTTTCTCGGTCTGATCCGATAGACTCGAGCCACCCGGAAATCCTGTCTGTCAGTCCGACGTGGTCTTCGAGGAACGAGGCTCTAGGGCGCTTTGGCGCGGGTTGCTGCAGGTTCGTCTCGAATAGTCGTGCTCGTTTCGCGGCAGGTAATGAAGGGGTCTCGAGACTCGTGTCGAGCCGTCTTTTCGTGGACTGCGAGGGTCCGTCCATGATGAAGAAGAGAGAAGCTCTTGTAGTGCTTGGGGATGGCCGGCCAAATAGGTCTAATATGCAACGCTCCTTCTCGCGAGAGTTGTTTTCGGTGAGGTGTTTGTTGGACGCGACGGAATTTTAGGCAGCAGTCGGGGCCAAGTGCCTATGATTGGTTCTCCGTGATTCCGGTCATGCGGGGTCGCTCACGTAACCGTCCGTCCAACGAGGTGGCAGGATTAGCGCCGCGCACCGCGTCGGGGCGTCTTCGCTAATTGGTGGTACTGTGCCTGCGCGTTGGTCAGGTGTTACGAGCTGTCCTCTTGGCTGAGACCGAGTCGCACTTTCGTACGGGGAGGCAAGGGGTATGCTTCGGACGGGGATTATGCAAGTCGCAGTAGCAATTTATTAAATAAAGTAATAACTACGAGGAGCCGTAAGGAGCGAGCTCCTCGGTGTTATATACACGCGCCTCTTGGCGTAATCCCATCCCCGTGATCGGGATCCTAATCCTGTTCCCGTGATCGGGATCCTGATCCTGTTCCCGTGACCGGGATCCTGATCCTGTTCCCGTGATCGGGATCCCGTGCGTCTCACGTGACCCCTCACGTGATCGCCCCCGCTCTGTAGTCCCCCTCTGGTTTTTATCTGGAGCGCGTTGGTCCTGGTTCGATTCTGCGATCGTAACACCCGCCTCTTCTTCCTTAAGCGTCGTCTTAAAGCTCTCTACTCTCTGCGGCGTAGTATTTTATTATTCCTATTATAACTATATATAAGAGTACTATCTCTATACTACTATAGTATTATAACCTCTTCTATCTCTTCTCTTTAATACTTCTAAGCTATACTAAGTCTTTATTAGTTTACTATTACTATTACGCTAAGCGTATTCTTTAAATAGGCGTAGATATATCTAATACTCTCTATAATAACTATTATAGTTATAAACTCTATTAAATAGTAGATATCTAGTCTAGCTAGTATTTAGAGTATATTATAAAGTATTATCTATATAGTAAGATATTAGACTAGATAAAGATTAAATAGTTAGACTAGAAGGTTATAGCTCTAACGTACTTTATTATCGAACCTTCTATATTATCGAACTTTTTACAATATCTTAGCAACGAAAATTAACAAAAATTAACCCGTTTTTCTTAAATAACTAAGCGAAACCTTAATCTTTTTCTATAAAGATTTATATATATATTCTTTATAGCATATTATACTATACGCTAAAGTTACACTAAGATACATTTCGTAATTAAAAAGCTATACGTATTTAGGTAACTTTTAGAAAAATCTAGTTTACTTCTAGTTAGTAGTATTATATCTCTATAATAATCTATAAAACTTATAGTATATAGTATTTATAATATACTAAAGGTTTCTAGAAAACTTCTATAGCGCTAGCTATTCTAGGTATAGCGTAATAAGAGGTAGAAGTTTAAAAAAGTCTTTCTAGAGTTTTCTTCTCTAACTATAGATATATATAAATAATCTAGCTATATAAAGTTATATATTATAAGATTATATAAACTATAAGCCTACTATATATTTAGAAGTAATAATTTTAAGATAGTTTTAGTATCTTTCTATCTTTCTATACTATACTACTAAAAAGGCTTTACTTTTAAATAACTACTTAAAGCTACTATAGTATTAGTTAATAAGCTCTATATAGTTAAAGCCTACTATAATTTATAAAATAATAACTTTATATAGCTAGATTAACTATATATATATATAGTTAGAAGAGAAAACTCTAAAGAAGACATTTTTCGAACTTCTATCTCTTATTACGCTATACCTAGAATAGCTAGCGCTATAGAAGTTTTCTAGAAACCTTTATTAGGTTATAAATACTATATACTATAAGTTTTATAGATTATTATAGAGATATAATACTACTAACTAGAAGTAAACTAGATTTTTCTAAAAGTTACCTAAATACGTATAGCTTTTTAATTACGAAATGTATCTTAGTGCAACTTTAGCATATAGTGTAGTATGCTATCAAGAATATATATATAAATTTTTATAGAAAGATATTAAGGTTTCGATTAGTTATTTAAGAAAAACGGGTTAATTTTCGTTAATTTTCGTTGCTAAGAAATCGTGGGGCGTTCGGTAATATAAGGCGTTTGGTAATAAAGTACGTTAGTAGATAAGATTTATAGTTTAAACTTATCTAGAGTACCTAGTAGAGCTAGTATTATAGATATAGTATAAGATCTATATATATAGTTTATTATTTAGTAGTATAAATATATAATCTCTATACTAAATATAGTTTTATTAGACTCTATAGTTAAGTATTAGAACCTAGAAAAGTCTTTAAAGATGTTTTAGCTAGCGCTTTACTAATAAGTTCTCTAGTATAGTAATTATTTTCTATACTAGGTCTAATATCTTATATATAGTCTATAATAGGTTATTAATTAGTTTATTTATAGCTAGTAGAATAAGTACTACTACTTCTAGTAGAGTATTTTAAAAAAGCTCTATAAGAACCTTATTATTAAATCTTTTAGATAGTAGTATTATCTATATCTAGTTTTTAACGTAGTTATTAGTAAGGTTATTCTTAGTAGGTTAGTTACCTAGTATATAACTTAACGTGTCTAGTCTAAGTACTTTACTCTCTAGATAATATATAATATAGAAGTTAAATTATAAAAGAAATTTAGACTAGTAAACTTATCTCTAGAAGAGTATCTTTATTATAGTAAAGTATTTAAGATTCTTATAATCTATAATAATCTTAAATAGTTTAGTAGTCTCTTATAACTTAAGATACTACTTTTCTAAGAACTTTATAATAGTAAGAAGTTCTTTATTATAGATTTTATAGTTATACTTAGTAGCGCTATACTTACTTAAAAAGTATATAATATAGTAGAGTATACTAGTATTATTATACTATAAAAGTATACTCTTTAATATCTAGTTAGAGATATCTATTTTAAGAATTATCTTCTTTATATAGTTATATATTACTAGTACTAGAGCTATTATAAATAATATCTTTAGAGTCTTAAAGGCTTACGTATACTTATCTATCTAGATCTATAATATATCTTTATATAGTAGCTTATTTAGTAGTTAATATATCTTAGAGAAGTCTTAAATAAAACATTAATAAAAGTTAGAGAAGCTAAGAAACTTCTATAGATTCTTTAGGTATAGAGGTGTTATCTATATATAAATAGTCTAGACCTTCTCTAGATTTATATAGATTCTTTCTAGAGAGATAATAAAACTAAAATATTTTATTTTAGTAACGTACTTTATTAGTAAATACTCTATATTACTAAACGCTCTAAAAATACTAAGCCTCTTCTAAAAAGCTACTATCTTAATTAGATTACTCTAACTCTAAGCTACTTAAGATAAATCTAGATAAGCTATTTAATTTATCTATATTATCTTTAACTATCTAGCACGTTTATACGTTATACTCTAGCTTACTATAGCGTCTATAGCGTTACTAAGCTAGCTAGCCGTTACGTACTACTATCTCTTTACGCTACTTCTTACTCTTATTCTAATTCGTAGCCTTTCTTTAAGTAACTAGCTATAAGCTAGCTTTAATTACAAGAGTATTCTCTTTCTAAATCTACTTTCTTTTACGTAAATTACGCTTCTTTTTCTATACGTTAGCTACTTAAAGCTAGGTAACTTTAGACTCTATAAGTACTAGCTAATACGCTATTAGCTTATTACCTTTCTTAAGCTAATTAAGTAACTTAATAATATAAGTTAGCGATAAATTAAGTAACTTAATAATATAAGTTAGCGATAAATTAAGATACTATATAATCTTTAATTAAATTAGAGTTAATTAAGACCTTACTTTAATAAGATTACTAGGTATTTTATACTTCTAGGTAGTAGTATTAGTAGTAGAGAGTATTAGCATACATAATTAAACTTTAAGCTTTAATACTACTAAATCTAGGTTAAATAGAACTAAGCTAGTACTTCTAAAGTCTACTCTAATATTATTATTTATAATTAACGCGTAAAAAGTTATATAAAACGTAAGTAGAAACTTAATTTTTATAATATAGTTAATATAGCTATATATTAGGTTCTTAACTTAGTAGCTATATACTACTTTTAATAGTAAGAAGTAGCTAATATTAAGTAGCTATAGAAGGTATAATAAATATACTAGTATATAGAAAGCTATAATTTTATTCTTCTTATAGTACTACTAGAATTTAATAAAGCTATAGCTTTTATAGCTATCTAAAATTAGTAGATAATATATACCTATAATATAACTCTTAGTATACACGTTAAAGTACTTTAACTATATAATACTAACTTTATTTATTATCTAGCTACTTTTAGAAATAGCTATAACCTAGTTACGTAGTAGCTAGCTACCTTTATACTACACTAAGAGGTAGTTCTTACTTATAATAATAAGAAATAGTAGAATCTATATATTATCTACTACTCTTACTATTATAATTACTAAAATCTACTTATAATTATCTAGTTAAAGGCTTTTTAGTTATAATTATCTCTTAGAGCTAGTAACTATTACCTAAGACGATATTATTCTTATTATAAAGCTAGATTCGTTAAAATTATACGTATCTTTATTAGTAATACTATACTTCGCCTTTATATTATCTACTAGGTTAAACTACGTCTAAATAACTATAAAATCTTCTTACTTTACTCTCTAATAGTTATACTAGTAATTAAGCTATATTTTAAGCTTAGAATAGTATATAATAAAGTAGTTTAGCTAGATTTAACTAATAGTATTTCTACTCTACTTAGTAAGTAGCTTATTAGCTATATCTTAAATAGTAGTAAGCTAGAGAGTAAATTCTTACGTATTTAGGTTAAGTATATACTTTACTATTACCTACTCTTTATTTATAGTAAGCTTTATTAAATTAGATATCTTTTTATGTTATAGAGTAACTCTATAGTATTAATAGTAAACTTTCTTCTACTCTATATTATAGAAAGCTATAGCGTACTATAAGCTTAGCTCTAGATTCTATTAAATAGTCTAGAGCGTAAGCTATATCTAGAATTTATCTAAAGTTAATTAGATATTTATAGAGAGCTTTATAATAAGAATAGTAGTATTTAGTAGAGGCTTAGTATTTTTAGAGTGTTTAGTAATATAGAGTGTTTACTAATAAAGTATATTAACCTTAAATTTATACTTTTTAATATTAATTTAGAGACTTATATTAATAAGCTATTAGATTATATCTTAGATATATTATTAGTATTTTTTTTTATTTATAAAGTAGATAAGAATA